GTGATGATGGACCGCCCCCCGTTCTTCTGTAACAGACGCACGAGCCTACTGCAGGTACTTTTGTGCAACCACCACAAAAAACTATTCCACCTCCAACTCTAGTATGTGTGTCTTGTGGCTTTGCCTCTGTTACCTCATTATAGATTCCCTTCATGAGTGCGTGCGAGCGTACAGAAACGACAAGGTGAGATCGAGGCGTACACCCGCGTCCAAGAGGACCCAAACAAATTCACCGCGTATCTCGCCCTCAGGTCTACTCTGGTTCAGAGACGCACCTATTTAGTGTCAGCTACCCTACATCGTGCCCGAAGCCATAGAGCAAGAAAACACACCTGTACGACTAAGCCTGCCACACATGAACCTNCAAGAGGACCCAAACAAATTCACCGCGTATCTCGCCCTCAGGTCTACTCTGGTTCAGAGATGCACCTATGTAGTGTCAGCTACCCTACATCGTGCTCGAAGCCATAGAGCAAGAAAACACACTACACCTGTACGACCAAGCCTGCCACACATGAACCTACAATCTGCGCGGCACCTCGTACGGTAGGCCAATCAAGGACATCATTGAATAGGGTGCTGACCCAAATTCAAATTCTTGCCCTCCCAAAACATAACTCCTACCATGGAAAAGAGGGTTTCGTCCTCGACCGACGTTGGGGAGTTTCAACCTTTATGAAGGTGTTCTCCACATTACCCCCCACTTTTTCGAGGCTTCTTCTTGTTTGCTAGGCAAGGGAAGTCTTCTTGGGGTAACCGGAACCCGACCGGCTGGCGGCGAGTAGAACCCCCTTTTTTTCCAACAATCTTCTGTGCACGTGTGCGGGTGCACCACTTCCGCCACGCATTGCCAACAGTTTCGAGTTCGATAGACAATGCATCGTTTCTTGGCCCACCCACCGTTTGTTTATCTTTTCTTTTTTTTCGGAAGAAAATTAGGTGAGCAGCGGGTTTTGAACCCGTGTCTTTTGCAACCAAAAATACGAGTACCTGTTGACGAGGTTTAAAGACGGGGTACTGCGGTAACTTTTCGTTTTTCGCAGCTTGCTTCTTCTCTGCACGTTCCGTGAGGTTTCTTCGCGCTAGTTCGAACGCAATTTGTAGATTTTCTCGTGTTTTTTTGCAAAACTTTCGGTATCTGCAGTTGATCCTTCATATGGGATTCCGAGAATTACATCTATCTACCGGTAACCATGCTTAGCGACCAAACATCAAGAAGTACGGTGTCTCATGCATGGTTTTATTAAACGACGTATTATACGCTAATTGAACCATTGGCAGGAGATCCGCCCAGTTGTCACGATTCATGGAGCTATGCATTGCGAGCATGGAATGCATCGTTGAATGCACACGCACAAGACCGAATTACCTTGCGGACGATACGGCGTCGTGCGTGTTTTTTTATAGCCCAAGATTGTTTGCAACTGATAGATTATCTTGTTTTCGAATTCAGTGCCTTGATCAGAGTGCAGCATTTCAGGCGGGCCGAAGATACTGATAATCCGATCAATGATTACACGTGCTACCGTTTCAGCAGTATTGTTTGGAACTGGTGTGAGAATTGCATAACGCGTCAGGTGGTCCATCATGGAAAGCACGTATTTGCATCTCACTCCGACTGCTGACATTGAGAGTGATTTGTACTCGACTAGGTCGACTGATACTCTTTCAAACGGCCGCTGTACAGGTACGTGACCCGTCGGCAGTTTCGGACGGCGGTGAGGTGTCTTTCTCCGTTGACAGGCCTGGCATTCTAGGCACCAAGTCCGGATGTCACGATTCATTGACTGCCACCAATATTTTTGACGTATTTTTTCGTACGTTGGACGAAATGCGAGGTGTCTACCTGAAAGAGCGTGATCATGGTATGCGTGCATCACTAATCCGGTGAGGTCATGTGGGACTACAAGTTGATCACTAAAAGTGCTTCGTTTTCGTAGGTGTCCTGGCAGATACGACTTAAACAGTAATCCGTCTCGTATGGAATAGTACGACATTGATGTTGCCGTTTCGTTGTCTGGTAGCGGTGCTTTGGCGTCTAAAATGTATTGGACATATTCGCCGTATTCTTCGGCTTGTTTCTCGCGCAATTTCTCATGCTTAACAGATTCAAATACTTCCGTGGCGCTGACGAAATTCGAATTTACTGTGAATAATTCCCTATCACTAAGGACTGGTTGCACATCATCCAATTTGTCAGTCGAGACTTGGTATGGTCTGTTTGGCATGTGTTGTTGCAGCTTTGGATCGTCCGGTACATTTCGGCAAATCGGTGCAAGGTTCGGCGCAGTTCGTTCTTGTTCATTATCGAACACGAAAAGTCGCGATAACGTATCCGGCACTACATGCAACTTTCCCGGTTTGTGTTTCACCGTGAAATCGAAGGATTGCAGTGCTGTTGCTCATCTCGTGAGCATATTTGACGTGTCTTGCATCGTATAAAGATATCGCAATGCCGAAAGTCCGGAAAATGCAAAACAGGAGCGTTGGTGAGTAATCGTTTCACTTCGGCAAATGCTTCATCATGTTTCGGACCCCAGCGTTTCGCTACCGACTTCACTGCGTCTTTCTTCGTAAGGTCGACCATTGGTGCGGTGACGGCGGCTACGTCTGGGATAAATTTCCTGACATAGTTGACCGTTCCTAGGAATGATCGCAGACTTTTGATGTTTGTTGGCGTTGGCAACTCTGGTCTCGATTTTATCCGATCTTCACCTAAACATATGCCATCTGCGGAAAGAATATGCCCCAAATACTTCACTTCCTTTGGCCCAAATTGTACCTTCGACGGTTTTAATGTAAGACCTGCGGCTTGTAGCGCTTGAAAGGTATTTTCCAAAAGAGAGATATGAC